GCACTCCAGCCCTAATATGTTCATTTTTTAAAAAAAAAACTGTGTGACTTGAGACTAGAGAGTAGCCCATGAGTTCTCAGAGTGCCTGCGGCTCTTCCCAAGGAGTCAGCACCCACTCGTGCTGGCTCACAGCTTCTGTAACTCTAGCTGGAGGGACCCAGTGCTATCTTCTGGCCTCCATGGGCACCCACACCACACACATGTCACATTCAACACACACATGCACATACAAATAAAAACACAGTCTTTAAAAAAGTTCTTGGCTGTTCTCAGGCATGTCAGTTTACAGACAAATTTTAAATTCAGATTTCATGTTAATGAGACAGAAAGCAGGGAGACTGCTCCTCAGATTGTTATTTTATCTGTTTGACTAGATAGTAACCATTTCACGACTGCAGGCCCGTTGTTTTGAGGTGCCACTGTTCTATTCCTGCTTCTTGAAAACAGAGACTGTGTTATCAAGGAGGCAGATTTGTAAGATGTGGTCCTCTGTCCCCAGCTCAGGCCAGTTGAGTAATTGAGGTTGGAGAGTAACCAGCATGAACTTAGGAAGGGATGCGTTTAAGAACGGCTTAAGGCCGGGCGGTGGTGGCACACACCTTTAATCCCAGCACTTGGGAGGCAGAGGCAGGCGGATTTCTGAGTTCGAGGCCAGCCTGGTCTATCAAGTGAGTTCCAGGACAGCCAGAGCTACACAGAGAAACCCTGTCTCGGAAAAAAAAAAAAAAAAAAAAAAAAGAACGGCTTAAGAAAATGGTTCTCAACCTGTGGGTTAACCGTGACCCCTTCAGAAGGTTGAATGACCCTTTCTCAGGAGTCACATATCAGACATCCTGCAGTAGCAAAATTACAGTTAGGAAGTAGCAGTGTAAATAATTTCATAGTTGCGGGGGGACATCACAGCATGAACTGTATTAAAGTCGCAGTGTTAGGGAGGCTGAAAACCCCTGGCTTAGGAGGTCCACTTGGGAGGGTTTGTTGATTAACTGTCTGAGTGGAGGAAAGAGGTCAAAGGTGAGGCCTGGATTTCTGGTTTGGATGCTACAGCATCTTGAGGGGAGAGTAGAACCAGAATGGAGTGGTCCTTAGGGTTGGTCTGTAAGTGAAGGTGTCAGATGGTTCTGGCCTTTTGTATTCGTGGTGCTGGCATTGCCTGTCAAAGGAGACATTCAGAAGCGGCTGGCTTTTATGCCTGGAACTCAGGAGTCTGAATGTCAGCACCTGGCTTAGAAGTGTGCAGTCAGTTTCTGTTGTGACAGAATGCTGGAGTTCAACTTCCTGAGGGAGGGAGGAAGGGTTTGCTTAGGCTATGGCTGCCAGCTTGTCACTTCTAGGTAGTGATGAGGCAGAACGGAGCGCTGGAGAGATGCGCAGGAGAAAGCCACTCCTGACCTGGTAGTAGGAAGCAACAGAAAGCACAGGAGGGGATAGGGGACAAGATAGAACCTCTCAAAAACATGCTTCTCTTTCACCAACTAGGCCCACCCCTTCCAACAGTGCCACCAGTTTATGAGTCCATGGAGCTTTCGGTTCATGTGGTCAGCTTTCAGGGTTATGTCTGTGGGGAACAAATCACAACAAGTTGTCAGACCCAGATGGTGATGGGGGATGGAGGACACTGCTCAGGGAATATGGGCAAGAGAAGTGGTCTGTGCCAAATTCCTAAGCACCCAGTCACATCAAAAGCACGTGTAAGAAGTGATCTGAAAGCCGGGCAGTGGTGGCGCACGCCTTTAATCCCAGCACTTTGGAGGCAGAGGCAGGTGGATTTCTGAGTTTGAGGCCAGCCTGGTCTACAGAGTGAGTTCCAGGACAGCCAGGGCTACCCAGAGAAACCCTGTCTCGAAAAACCAAAAAAGGAAAAAAAAAAAAAAAAATGCAGGGGTCAGGACAGAAGTGACCGTGGTGTGTTGAAGATGGAGCAGAAGGTGTGGAGGTAGAGACCGTGAGAGTAGAGAACTCTGTCGGAGAGAACAGAGAGGGTGGTTAAATGAAATGTGGGGGGTCTGTGGGAAGCTCTCTCTAAAATAGGAGGCTCTTGAGATACATAAACACCAACAAGAAAGGCAAGCTCAGAAAGGCTGAATATCTTCACGGCCTGTCAAGTGCTATACAAAATTAGTAATTTATTCTTCCTCCAGAGTTAAGAGGCTCTTTGGTCAGGTGCTGTGCCTGGAGAGGGCACTTAGGAGTGGTTGGGGGTGTTGTGTTTGAAGAAGAGCAAGAGGATTAGAGACAGCTGCCAGGTCAGCCTGGGCTAGCCAGATGTGCAGATAGCCACGCTAGCCTCCAGCCTCGAGGTCTTGTGTCAGCTTAGACCATCTAGTTGGTGGAGTTGTACAGACTGGAGCTGACTTAAGTCCTGGTGGGAGTGACAGGTCACCATGTGCTTTCAGGTGTGTCTGGAGTGGAACTTCACTGCTACATTTAGAAGAAATGCACAGAATACACCATGTGAAGGCCGTCGCTTCACTCCGACTAATAGCCTTGATAAGAACATGGGGGTTTCTCTTCTTGGTGTGGGGTCCAGGTTTTTTATTTTTTTTTTATTTTTTTTATTTTTTTATTTTTTTGGTTTTTTGAGACAGGGTTTCTCTGTGGAGCCCTGGCTGTCCTGGAACTCACTCTGTAGACCAGGCTGGCCTCGAACTCAGAAATCCACCTGCCTCTGCCTCCCAAGTGCTGGGATTAAAGGCGTGCGCCACCACCGCCCGGCTTTTATTTTTTTTAAGTTGAAACACCCAGCTCCCCCTACAGGTTGGCATCCAGCAGGGTTCAGTTCTTCTCCAAGCTCTTGCTATGGGGACATTGGTTATAAATAAACAAACACTGGCCTGGAACGGCATGGTCATTCTGCCCAGGCATTCTCCCAACTTTCTGCTCACTGTCAGACACTCGCTTTGGCTTCACAGTGTGTCCTGCTGCTGATGGCTCTGAATGCTAATTGTCTGTATTTAAGCCCTGTCTGTCTTTTGCTCGTGCTCATCCACGAGGTCTGGTTTAAAATGTCTGAGCCAGTCTGCCCAGGTGATGAACGTCACATGTCTTAGGACGCACTGCAGGCATGCCGTTACTGTTACTATTCACAGTGCAAACCCAGGGCCTATGCATGCTAGCCTAGCACTCAGCCACTAGTGCCATGCACCTCACCTACTGAATTAAGAGTTCAAATCTGCTGAGAACAAATTGTTTCTGTCAAACTGGTTCCCTCTGGTCTTGAGTTCTTGAGTATATTTACTAACATACATGTGTTGCAAAGTAAAATTTTTTTAGAATTGCATCTCATTAATAGAACTCAGTTAATTGAGTTCTATTAATTAAGACTTGTCTTTTTCCTAAGGACAAGTCCAAGGCCTGATGCTGGAGAAACAGATATAAATGTACAGATTATCTCTGCAAGGAATTTACTGTCCAGATAGAATTTTTAAAATATGTGTTTTGGAAATACTACTTAAATACGATCTCGTGATGAGATGACTTTGAAGGCTATTGCTTGTGTGCCCCTGGGAAGGGGGACATGTGTACTACGGTGTGTGGAAGGCAGAGGACATATTAGTGGGACTCAGTTCTTCCAGCTTATGGGTTCTGATCTTAAGTCGTCAGATTTGGCAGCAAGTGTCTTTACTCACTGACTCGTCTCATTGGGTATAAATGGATTATGGTTCTGAGAAGTCTTACAACGAGGATGTGTATTTATGTATGCTTTTAGTTTAGGTTCTCAATCATATGTCACAGAAGCACTGTGTGTGTGTGTGTGTGTGTGTGTGTGTGTGTGTGTGTGTGTGCAGATGTGTGGCCGGTGGCTTCCTTGCTAGTGCAGCTGTGGCAGCAACTTTAGGAGAAGGACATTACTGTGTGTCCTTTAAGGAGCTGAGGAAGCCTTTTGAAGGGTTGGGACCCTGAACTGTGCCAGTTTAAGCATCAGTGCATTTGGATTTTGGTCATTACTGGATAGTGATTCCCTGGTCCCTGGAGGCAGCAGGAGCCTCCTGTCCTGGAGATGTTAGTCAATCCTTGTCCACATCAGCTAACCCAGGGTTTCTGTTGACTCAGAGCTTTGCTGTAATGCTCAGATGGATGTCAAATTTAAAGGCTTAGTGGCTCTTTAGTCTCAGCCTCCTGAGTAACTCGCTGTGACTCCGGGGGCTGTCACCGTGACCTTCACGGTCACTGTTTCTTGTCAGTTTTCTGGTGGTGGAGCTTGAGCCTCATCTTGGGTCTTGCTCATCTTGGCAAGTGCTCTAGTGCACTTTACTGCCGCCCTGCACCCTCAGCCTCTAGTAATCTTCTTGTTGTTTCTTTGTTTGTTTGTTTGTTTTCCAGACAAGATTTCTCTGTGTAGGCCTGGCTGTCCTGGGGCTTGCTCTATAGACCAGGCTGGCCTCAAACTCACAGAGATCTTCCTGCCTCTGCCTCCCGAGTGCTGGGGTTGAAGGTGCGTACCACCACCGCCCGGCTCAGTTAGTCTTCTTGATAAAAGAAGCAATGGGGCCAGTTAGTGTAGAGGGTCAGGAATAGTTCACATGCACACACACTGCCTCTGTGCTTCGGTTTGAATTTAGGGCACATGCTAGGCCGTCACTGACCACTGACGTGTCTCTCTAGTCCAGCAGAGTCACTTACCATCCTTGTCAAGCAGGCATGGGGCTGAGCTTCATTTTCAGGACTCCCTGCTCCCACACGGGAAATGGTTATAGAAATAAAGCAACATAGCAGTCACTCTGGGTGATTCCCACTAGTGGCTAACTGAACTTTGTTTAGCTTTGGAAAGGAACAGCATAAAAACAAAACAGGATACCTTTTGGGTACTTGAAAACCCTCTCATTCGGCTTATATTGTCTGAAGCAGCAATAAGGACAGCACACGTTACTGTGTGTCCTTTGAGGAGCTGAGGAAGCCTCTTGAAAGGGTTGGGGACCCTGAGCTGTGGCAGTTTAAGCATCAGTGTTTGCCCTTCTCAAGTAGATGACTTGTCTGAACGCCCTCCATCCTCCTTCTAGATGGTGTCCTGTTCCTCTGTGCTCACTGCAATCAGTAAGGTATGACTGTGGCCCCTCAGGAGCTGTGGGAAGGGACAGACAAGGCCACATGCCTGGCCATTCTGATCATATGTCTCCTGGGGCTGGATAGGCAACACCTGATGCCTCTTCCCCTGAGGGAGGAGGTCCTGGGAATTAGGAACACATTTCCATATGGGGAGTCTGTGTCCGAGAGCTGGAGGAGGGGTAGCAGAGCTTGTGAGAGGCTGACTAGGTAGTGCTGGGCCCTCCATTGTTCTCTACTCTTTCTGCAGTTTGATGACTTTTCCCGGGACCTGTGTGTCCAGGCTCTGCTGGACATCATGGAGATGTTTTGTGACCGACTCAGGTAAGAGATGGGTGAGGAAGCTCAGAGCATTGCATCCTTCTTTCAGTGCCGAGGAAAGCCCATAGACCAGGAGACGAATTGAGACCAGCTCAGGCTCCCATGTTTCTTCTGTCTGCCTGCCCACCCCTAGCTTCTAACTGTTTCCTTAAGACAAAGTGCCTCTCCACCATTTGGAAGAGCTGCTCTAAGATCTTGTCTAGTGGAAGCTGGCTAGACTAGGTGTCTTACCTAGGATTCTGCCAACTTTCCAGCTCTATCCCCTAGTAGTGTTGTGCCAGAGACTCTGGGGGAACATTGGTGTGGGTTGGATTTCAGCTTTTGGAATAGACACAAATTTTCATCCTTTTTGGGTAGTTGCCACGGCAAAGCAGAGGAATGTATCGGGCTGTGCCGAGCACTCCTTAGCGCCCTCCACTGGCTGCTGCGATGTACAGCAGCTTCTGCAGAGCGACTCCAGGAAGGACTGGAGGCTGGCACGGCCCCTGGGGAGAAGCAGCTTGCCTTGTGCCTACAATGCCTGGAGAAGACCCTCAGCAGCACCAAGAACCGAGCCCTGCTGCACATTGCCAAGCTAGAGGAGGCCTGTATGTCCCCTGACTCCCCTGCACCTTGCCTGCTGCTGCTTCTGTAGTTGGTCCTTTGATTGAGAGGGGAGAGGCAGGATGCCATCCCACTTCTTTCTAGAAGGATCCGAAATCATCCCACTTCCTTTTTTCTCTCCCCATAAGCATTGCATACATCCCAGGGACTTGGGCAGGGTGGCACCCGAGCCAATCAACCAACAGGTATTTACTGAGCCTTCTCGTGTGCCCAGCACTGTGCCAGGTGCTGGATGGGGGGGAGGGGGGCTACCAAAGGAGCATGTGGCAGGGTCCCTGCCCTCAGCAAGCTTACACACTGGTGGGGAGTAAGATTGGAATGCCATGCATCTGGAGAAATTTGAGGACAAGACAGGCACATCCTCTGCTCTTGTCCGTCTTCATGTTACCTCGCTAGAAGCAGGTGACTCCGGTGTGACCTGGAGCTTTCAGTTAAACTCAGTGCCTGTCTGCCATGACTGTATGCTGTTATCTCTTAACTCAGGTTCTGTTAACTATTAGAACCTTCCAGATTTATAGGAGAGAAGTCTTCCTGCAACAGAGGCCTCGGGCCTCTTGAGTCTTAAGCCCCAGTGCCTAGGGCCACCTAAGGGTCTCTTGTTTTCCACTGACAGGAATGCTAAAATGGGTGACACCCATGTCTTCAGGGCTCAGTGGGAGAGATTGTTAGGGGATTAGTCTCTCTGGGAAAAGTCTAGAAAGAGACTGATCACTGTGTCAAAATGGGCAACGTTGACAGTTTTTCTTCATCTGTTTTCTTGTTAGTGTTGGCACTGCCCTGCCTTGCTGGGCACTTGATAAATGTTTATTGGTAGAAAAGTAGATGAACACTTCATTTTGATGGATTTCAGGTCTCGGCCATCTTTCTCTTATCCCTGTGCTACATGGAGGTTAATTGGCTAGCTGGTGCCGGCATTCATCATTTGACCCTTTGGGCTTTTAACTAGGATAAGTGACTAGTAATTAAATACTAAGTATGTGCTATAGACCTTGAGTGCAGCCATTTAAGAGAGCGGCCAGTGGGCTCGACCAGTTGGGTGAGCTGTTAAAAGAGCAGAAACTGAAGACCTGTGTTGGCAAGGTATTTGGAGCTAGGCTGTCTAGAGTAGAAGTCACTGTCCCTGCTCGGTGTGCCCACCCCTGTGCCTTGCTCCCACTGCTTGTGTGTCTCCAGTCAGTTGTGTGTAGTCACTGGAAGTCAGACCCTTGATATGGTTGCTAGGGGTCTTTGTCCCATGGTACCTGCTCCCCTTACAGAAGCATGCTACCCTCAGGATCTGCCTCCTCATCCTCAGAGGCTCCTTGCTGTATGCTTTCACAGCCCAGGGATCCCCACAGTCAAGGAGTGTGGGCCATGCTGTGCCTCTCCTTCCCAGCAGTCTCTGCCTTTCTCTTTCTCCACCAGCCTCCTGGACTGCCATTGAGCACTCACTTTTAAAACTTGGGGAGATCCTGGCCAATCTCAGCAACCCCCAGCTCCGGAGCCAGGCGGAGCGTTGCGGCACACTCATCAGGAGGTTAGGTTTCTCCAGGGGATAGGAAGGTGGATGGGCTGTGCAGTCTGTTCTCCCGCTGACTCCTCAGCCCCGGACACTGCCCCGTGCATCTCTCCTCAGCATCCCTACCATGCTGTCTGTGCACTCAGAGCAGCTGCACAAGACCGGCTTCCCCACCGTCCACGCGCTCATCTTGCTCGAGGGCACCATGAACCTGACAGGGGAGATGCAGCCCCTGGTGGAGCAGCTGATGATGGTGAAGCGCATGCAGGTGGGTGTGGCCAAGCAGGGTGGGTGGTCTCTTGGGGTAAAAGGGAGGAGGCTGGTACTTGAGAGGACTGGCTCTCCTGTTGATTCCCTGGTGGATCACAGATGCCAGTCGTACACAGTTTTGCCATCTGACCTCCAGATCTTGGTTCTGAGCTGTCTAGTCACAAACCAGCCTGGTCCTTGGCGCCTGTGGAAGGGGAGGGGCCTCTTACACTACACCCTTGGATTTCCCACAGCATATCCCCACACCTCTCTTTGTCCTGGAAATCTGGAAAGCTTGCTTTGTGGGACTCATTGAATCCCCTGAGGGTACACAGGAGCTGAAGTGGACAGCTTTCACCTATCTCAAGGTACCTGGTGACACGGGAGTAAGGATGAACCAGTCGAGGGACAGCTCTCAGGAGAAGCAGCAGCGAGCAGTGGCCCTGGCCCTGTGTATCCCTCTCCTGGCATTTAGTCCGGTCTCCTGAGTCTCTAGCACAAGCTCAGTTGGTCACTGTCTCTGAGAGTCTTCGCTGCTTTAGCCACTTGGGGGTTCTACTGCTTGTTTAGCCCATCATTAGCCGGGTTAGTTCCGGTCACCTAAGAGATCTAAGGAGGGTGCCCCAGATGACCTCTGAACTTCGCTTCCAATTGTGCAGTTAGGATTTCCTTGTTGAAGTGGGGGGCCCATGTCTGTAGGCCAAGAGGCATCAGGGTGCTTGGATGGGTACTTGTGTGTGGGCTTACAAGTTATTCAGAGTACTGTCTGAGCCAGAAGAGCCCTCCTACCTCAGTGTCACGGGAGGGAATGTGTGGTCTTCTGTGATAAGTGAAAGAGTGAAAGGTCATTGATCTTCCTGTCTTCCCCCTCATGTCCTAGATTCCACAGGTTTTGGTGAAGTTGAAGAAGTATTTTCATGGGGACAAGGTGAGTTGGTGCCTGGGATGAGGCCATGGAGGTGAGGACGGTAAACAGGGTCGAGCAAGTGTGTGTGGGGGGGCTTTCTCTCTCTCTCTCTCTCTTTTTTTTTTTCTTTTTTTTTCTTTCTTTCTTTTTTTTGAGACAGGGTTTCTCTGTGTAGCCCTGGCTGTCCTAGAACTCACTCTGTAGACCAGGCTGGCCTCTAGCTCAGAGATCTGCCTGGTTCTACCTCCTGAGTGCTGCGACTAAAGGCGTGTGCTAAGGGTGGGTATCTTAGGCCGCAGCTAGCTGGGTGGTAGCTTGTGTTGTTATGCCTAGAGGAGGCTGTGTGGACCTGTGAACACCTGTGTATGTCCTTGGACGTGCACTAGAGGAAAGAAGGTGGCTTAGGCTGGCCCCCCTCCACCCCAGCAGAAAGAAGACCTGTGGTGATTTAGCTAGGGTAACCGTCACATGGAGAGTGTGGTGCCTCCGACCTCTCGCACCCTGCGCTTGGGGCTGTGGGGTCTGGGGATGTAGAACCCACGTCGGGGTTTCTGATTCTTTTTAGGACTTCACTGAGGATGTCAACTGTGCCTTTGAGTTCCTGCTGAAGCTCACACCCTTGTTGGACAAAGCTGACCAGCGCTGCAAGTACGAGCCAGCCCCATGCTCACCCCATGTTGCTAGAAAGTGTTCCGAGTCCTTCCCCATTCACTGTTGGATGATCCGAAGGGAGCTCCCTCTTCCTGTTAGACTCTCCCTCTGGGCAGAGCTGGGAGGCAGTAGCTCATAGTTGCCAAGTACTAAGAGCTCTTCTACCTGTGGGTACTTGAGTTTTCTTCACCCTGAAGGAGGAAGGAGACCGGACAGGCACCTGTGACACAGCTCTCTGCTCACTTCCATCCTCCGGCTTTTCCTTCACAGTTGTGACTGCACGAACTTCCTCCTCCAGGAGTGCAACAAGCAGGGGCTTCTGTCTGAGGTCAACTTCGCCAGCCTTGTGGGCAAGCGGTATGTGGCGAGCCCCTCGGGCTGCCTCCCTCTTGTCAGACTGGTTCCTGATGCCTTTCCCTTCCTCTTTGAAGTCTGAGTTGCAAGTGACTGATGCCTTCTGGGTCTAGGGAGCAGGACTTCGTCAGACGAGGGAGTTTTCCCTCCCGAGTTGCTGCTCTTTGACTCACCCTCCTTTGTGAGCAAAGGCCATAGACAAAGTCTTAATCTTCCTTTAATCCTAACAGAACTTTCAAAATGGGTGTAACAACACTGGCAAATTGAAATGATGGTAATATTGAGTACAGGTTCACCATAAACTTCATCCTAACTCAAGATTCTTTGTTTTTGTGTCATGATGAGGTTAACCCAGCATGCTGTGACGGGAGACAGATGCCCGACTGAGCTGCTGCCAGCTCCCAGTCGGCTTATGCTTCTGTCTCCTTTCTGCCTTTGTTTCTGGAGTTGGATTAGAGATTTTTTTTTTTTCTTAAAAACTAGAGTCTCACTATGTAGCTCTGGCTAGCCTCAAATGCAGAGGTCTGCCTGCTTCTGCTACTTGAGTGGTTTAAGATTAAGGTGCAAGCCACCACACACAGTGGATTCGAGACTATATCAAGATTTTTTTCCTTAGCCAAGTATGAGCCAGGTAGCTTACAGCTGTAATTATAACCTTGAGAGGCTGAACCAGAACTACCTTGAGTTTAAGGCCAGCCTGAGCTACAGTGTGAGACCCGTCTCCAAAAAGGAGATAATCCTCTTTATTTCTGTTTTCTTCTCTGGGTTATGACCCTAGCACTGCAGATCGGGACCCTCAGCTAAAATCGTCAGAAAATGCTAATATCCAGCCTAATCCTGGACTGATCCTGCGTGCAGAGCCCACTGTCACAAACATTCTCAAGGTGTGTGTGTGCACCCTGCCAGTGCCACTGCAGACTCCCTTCCTCCTTCAGCCTTCCTCTATTTCCAGATAAATGAACAGAGCCCACAGGCCTCTCTGCTCTCTGTGGATTTCCAGATAAATGAACAGGGCCCATAGGCCTCTCTGCTCTCTGTGGAGAGCTGTTTTGGGAGTGGAACAACTGGGGAGGCAAAGGTAGCAGGCACCACTGAAAGCTGACATTGGTTGCTCTCCTACTGTGCCCTAGGTGATGTGCCTGGTGCCTCTCCAGACACTACCCCATGAAGGCATAGAAGGGAAACTCCCAGCCAGAGCCTCCCTGTCCCCCACCCCACCTCCCTCTACCACACCACACCACACCGTGTAGTTGAGCACAAAGCTCACAGAGAGTTTAGCAGTGATCTTCCTGTCGGAACAGGAAGTGGCAGGCCATGTGTGCAGGTTCAGTGGGCCAGTCAGTGGACATAGGCAGAGAGAAAATATAGTTAGGCTGTATCTGGGGGGTATCTTCACTGGTCTCCTGTCCTGTCCACAGACAATGGATGCAGATCACTCCAAGTCCCCAGAGGGACTGCTCGGGGTCCTGGGACACATGCTTTCTGGGAAGAGCCTGGACTTGCTGCTGGCTGCCGCTGCTGCCACTGGGAAGCTTAAATCCTTTGCCCGGAAATTCATCAAGTGAGTAGACCTGTACCCTGCTATGCGACCGGAGGTCGTGTTTGGAGGAAGGAGATGCCTGGATATGGGTCTCCCCTTGAGGTGTACAGACCAGGGCAGAGCATCCTAACTAGAAACCATGACAGAAGGGTCACTTGTCTCAGAGTTCTTTTCTCTCCCACTGAAGATGGAATAAAGATGCTTGCTAAGATACTGAGGCATGGGGTGGGGGGTGAAGGATGGACCTCAGTGCTTAAGGGCCTGGCTGCTCTTCCAGAGGACCTACATGGCAGCTCACAATTGTCTGTAACTTCAGTCTCAGGGGATCCAGTGCCCTCTTCTGGCCTCTGCAGGATCTTGTACATATAGGAGAGATGCATGACTAACACAGATATGCTTAATATACAGTAAAATAAAAGATAAAAAAATGAGGCATTGAACAGTAGGCACGGGAGAACTCCTTGGCCCAGTTATTTCCTTTTTCATAGGCTTTCATGGAACCTACTCTTTCTAGCTTGTGGGGTTCTTTTTTTGTTTTTATTTTTCACTTTGTAACAACCCTGGCTGTCATGGAACTTACTTTGTAGACCAGGCTAGCATCAAACTCACAGATCTGCCTCACTCTACCTCCTGAGTCCTGGGATTAAAGGCATGCATGACCACCGCCCAGCCAATAATGGGTTCTTAAATTCTGTAGCTTTTAGGGAGTTCGCTTGTAGAACATAGTTCCTTACAAATCTTTGGGTCTCACTGTGTAGTCCAAACTGGCCTCTAATGCTTCATGTGTTAGCCTATTCAGTGTTGAGGTTATAGATGTGAGACACCATGTTCTTTTAATAATAGTGGTTTTTTTCTCTAATTATAAAACCCGTTTTATATGTAACTTATAGTTAAGGCTCTAGGGACCGCCCCTCTGAATATGTAGCCCCTCCCACCTCCACCCCCACCCACTCGTGTAGCTGTTGTTCAGCTCCTGCTCTGGTTGATGCCACCTGTCTCTGTCCCTCCTGCAGCCTGAATGAGTTCACTACCCACGGCAGCGGAGAGAGCAGTAAGTCTGTGCGCATCTGCAGATCGCATCTGCCCTGAGGAGGGAAGAGAGGGAGGGATTGCCTTTGCTAACTCTGGGCATGAGGGCTATGCTGGGAAAGGACTCTGCTAAAACCACCCCTTTGCCCTTCTCCCAGCTGGATCAGTTTTGACTGGTTTGGGCTCTGGAAATTGTGGTTTCCAAGGAAGGGATGATGTTCTTATTAAGACCCAAGAAAAGGATTCTGAGCCTCAGAGCTTTGAAGGAACCACTTGGTCCCTGACCTTCCTTCAGGAAACCCTGAGCTGAGGTGTAGCCTCCACACTTGCCTACTGTGCATAAGGCCTTCAATCCCAGCCCCCCGCCCCGATCTGTACAGGGCTTGGGGCCCCTGCCCTTGGCTGAGCTTGGCATTCTTGCCTTTCCCACAGCGAAAACAGCCTCGGTCCGTGCCTTGCTCTTTGACATTTCCTTCCTCATGTTATGCCACGTGGCCCAGACCTATGGCTCAGAGGTAAGCGAGGAGAGCTGGTGACAGGAAGAGGCCCCAAGTGAGTGGGGCAAATAGGAAGGAAACACCAGTCACTCCCTTACTCACCCTTGCCCCACTGATCTCCCAAGCCAGCCCATTCTGTTGGCTTCCCATGTCAACAGGTACCCAGCATCCCAGGTCCACTAGTGGTACATTCATGCTGACCACTAGATGGCAGCACAGCTCCCTGTCTGACTGCCCTCAACAGATTTGTCCATGGAAAGAGCCCACTCCCTGGCTGGCTCTGGCAAGTGCCATGCCCTCTTCTCTCAGCTGGTGCCCCTCTGCCTTATCCAGGTGATTCTCTCCGAGTCAAGTTCAGGAGAAGAAGTCCCCTTCTTCGAGACTTGGATGCAGACCTGCATGCCTGAGGAGGGCAAGATTTTGAACCCTGACCACCCCTGCTTCCGGCCTGACTCCACCAAAGTCGAGTCCTTGGTGGCCTTACTCAACAACTCTTCAGAGATGAAGCTAGTGTCAGTGGCCTAGGTCCTGACCTCGGGTAGTAGTGGGGGGCATTCCAAGACCCTCTCCCCTAATCCCATCACAGGCTCCCTAGCCGTGATGGTTCTCCTATCCCTAATCTTCTCTGTAGACAGATGAAGTGGCATGAAGCCTGCCTGAGTATTTCAGCAGCCATTTTGGAAATCCTCAACGCCTGGGAGAATGGGGTTCTGGCCTTCGAGTCCATCCAGGTAGCTCCACCATTACTTGAGCCTCTGCCTGAGACACAGGGCTGGTCATTGAGAGCTTGTTACCTTGCGTACAAACAAACCCTCAAGCTGGAGGTCATGTCCTGGTATTAGTCTTCCATAGCGTCCTCTTAGCTACTGCATCCCTCCCACGTAGCTTGGGGAAAATCAAATTTGTGTTGCAAAGGTGTGCAATGTACCTTGGGATACCACGTGTGACCCCCAGCTGCCCCCAGAGGCCGTGGGAGTCACGGTCAGGGAGAAGGAGAGAGTCCCTAAGCCATTCCCTCCTCCTCCTCCCCACAGAAAATCACCGATAATATCAAGGGAAAGGTATGCAGTCTGGCAGTGTGTGCTGTGGCTTGGCTTGTGGCCCACGTCCGGATGCTGGGGCTGGACGAGCGTGAGAAGTCACTGCAGATGATCCGCCAGTTGGCAGGGCCGCTGTACAGTGAGAACACCCTGCAGTTCTACAACGAGAGGTCAGTAACTGGGCCGCCTTCCTGGCCTGCAGGTGTGTGGTGAGGAGTCAGCACCACCAGGAACAAACATATACCTCCTTGCTCTCTCCCTCGCCTTCCCCGGGAGCTGCTCACCAACCACTTCCTCCTCCATCCAGGTTCTGAGCAGCCTGCCTCCCTCAGCTGCTGAGGCAGTGCACATTCAGTGTAGCCGGACTCTCGCTCACTTCTTCCCCTTTCCCTACCACTCCCTCACATACTTATTCACACATTCATTCAACTGGCTCAGCAGATATTTGGTGTATGTCTCTGTATCGAGAGGGTTTTAATCCTGTACTTCCCATGTGTGGGAAATATAGACCCCAGACAGCTTGACCTCTGTCCTCCAAGGCTCCAAGTTCCAAAAAACTAGCTGAGGCAGAAGAGCAAAGGGATTATGTGGCTGTGTCACTGTCGAGGGACTCTGAGGCATCTGCAGTTTTTATAGCTTCCCTCCCCCACCCCCAGCTGTCCTGATGACCATTTCAAGTCCTGGCTCTTCACGCCTTCCGCTACACGGGGCTCGGTGGTGTCCATTCATTCGTCCAACTGATAAGTTGTTTGGCCGTTGGCTTTAAATATGGCAAGAAGCACATGATAGGAGGTTTACCGTTTCAATTGTGTTTATGTGTATCACTCGGGATATGAGATGTGTTGGAATTGTGAAACAGACCTCCAGACGTTTTTCATCTTGTGTATCTGAGCCTGTTAGCCAGTAAGCAGCAGTCCACCTCCCCTTCTCAGTTCCTGGCAACTGCCATGCGACTGTCTGTCCCTCTGAGCAGCTCCGCTGGATACTTCATAGAACTAGAATTACGTAACACCTGCTTTTTCATGACTGACTGACTTTACTCAGCATAGTCTCCTCAAGATTCATTCAGACTCTGGAATGTGACAGGACTTCCTTCCCTTTAAGGCTGAGTAACATTGCATATCTGTGCCCCTATGGACTACCATCCGCCTTCTGGGGGACTTGGAGAGTGCTGACGTGAATGTGGGGCTGAGGCTAGCTTACAGGGTGGCTGCTGAGGGTGCTTTCTGAGGGACATGTGGAAACAGCTGAGGCAGGGGGGCTCTGTAAGATCACATCTGCGCTTCCCTTCCCTACCTGTGGGACATCATCCAAACCAAGCGTGGATGTGCGTCTACACACGCGCGCACGCACACACACACACACACACACACACACACACACACACACACACACACA